TGCAACTCCTCTTTCTTCAAACTCCATTGCCTCGCCATTGCCATATTCCCATCATATTGTCCGTAGCGTTTCATGGCTTCTTCCCTCATCAGACTACATGGTGACGCTAACAAACGACACATTGCGCCACATCCCATTCCCAGGCCATTTGCTTGATATTCGCCGAAATAAGTAAGGACAATGCTCCTACGATCAGATGTCGAGTCCACATCTTTACTACTGTACGACCTATTCCTAGTTAGTAAAATGGTATTATCCTTCTGGTGCTGGAACAAACTGCTGAATGCTCTGTGACAAAATAACACCCCAACAAGTCTAGCGCATACTGACCTTTTCTCTCAGCACACCGAGCCATTGGGCCGCACTGACTCCCTGGTCTGCTCGGTCCTCAACAAGTAATGTTTGTGCCCACAGCTTCAAGCTAGGCTCGCCGTCTTCCCGCACTATATAAAGGTGCGGTACTGTGATGCTTCCGACCCCGAGCGACTTGTGGTCTCTGCTCTTCTGGATGACTGCTCTCACACGCTCATTGAAGTCGTTATCAAGCTCAGGGACCCGGCCTTTACCAACGTGGACCTGAGCGCGTTCCTCGACTCCGAAGACGTCTGCAATTAGTTGGGGGATAGCATCTCGCCCAACCCAAAGGAATTGAGTCTGTCCGTCATCGATCAAGTAAAGCCCATACGGGACCAGTCGCTCCGATGACAGGTTTATCGCTGGTGGCAAGACGATCTGACCTGTTTCCTCGTCTGGCATTCCTGCATTGTCAGGCATATCATGCAAAGAGTACATTCTGGGGTAAATGTAGCGCATCAGCAGTGGCACCGGCAAAGTCGAGAGCAGACAGAGTGCTGCAGAACGGATGTCTGAGGGAATCTGCGTCGACTTTCGCAGCCCCACGTTCTTGATAAGACCCAGAAACAGAACGGGCAAGCCGCGGAGGTTCGCAGGGAATTGCAAACCACCTCCACCCATGCTACCACCAGCAAGTTCCTTCTTGAATGTCTGCAGGACTTCAGTGAGCTTAGCCTGCAAAGCATCTCTTGCCGCCTCCAGGCCGCTGTCCAGAGTCCGCTCTACAGCCTTGTGGCTGAAGTATGCGGTGATAGCACACTGATCAGCGGATGCATATACATCAGACAAGTTTGTGGTAGTCGGAAGAGAAAGGGTCAACACTCGAATGCGGCGTTCACCGTTGCATGTGGTGTGAAGAACAGCAGCTTGCAGACACACAAAGTTTTTATTCAAATTTTCGTCAATGGCAACCTCCACGACGTAGCACTGATCGCGTGGGAATGCTGGGAAAGCACAAAGATCAGAGCTCCGATTGAAAAAGTTGCCATAGAAAGCATTCATACGCAAGCCTGTAGTGGCACGGACGCGAAGCACTGCTTCGAGACCGATTTCTGATGACAGGTAGTCGCTGAATTCCGACGCAAATTTGAGGGCATCTTCAGGACGCGAGGCGTGCCAGCCTGGGTAGAACCATGTCTGGCCACCAGTATACCGTGGAAGATTGCTGAGTGAGGCGACATCTTGGTACTGCGACGAGAACAGAAACATGTCGATGGAAACCTGGTTCTTTGAGCATTCGACAGCAAAGCTTTTGTAGAAGCTATTAGCAGTCTGCAGGAGACTACCTTCCCTTGATGTGCCGAGTAGCTTTTTGTCTTCCCTCATATCCAGTTTGCCATCGCCAATATTGGGCAACGAGGAGGTCAGAACAACGATTTTGCCGCCAAGGGAGGAAATGAGCTTGTGCCCTGCCCTGAGGGCTGACCCCATGCAAGAGCCATTGCTATGATTATTCTGGAACATATCTGGCAACTTCTGAAGGAATTTCTCTATGCTCTGGCGACTCTCGGTGAGAGACACGAGGAGATCATGTGGGACAGGGAGAAAAGGCTCCTCCAGGTCGCTGACAACCAGCATATTTGTTTCCCCGTTTTCATCTTCATCCTTCGGAATTGAAAAGTAATGCAAGCTGGTGTCCACTGCGAGGAAACCAAGCCTCGTACGTCTGTCAGCATTGGGGATCCTGCTGAGGCTATCGAGTATTGTGCGAGCGCTGGTAGCCAACATGCCATTTGAAACCGAGGCATAACTGACATCAAACAGAAAGAGGTACACCAATGGCTGTGGAGGTCGAACCATGTATTCCTGTGGCGCAACAAACTCCACGACGGAGTGATTTAGTTCGTGACGTTGCATTCGGTTTACTGTCTGCTGCGCGGCCGCATCCCAGTCGAATGCCTGAGGAACATCGTTGCTCAAGTTACACATGTTGCATCTCCAGCGATGCCCATGGTCTAGGAATGTCACAAAGGGGTTGATATACGTCCTGCAACGGCGACAACGCGCAATGACCTGGTCTTGGACGACCGGAATTTGGTCCTCATCGTCGTGGAGCGCGCCATATGGCTGAATGACGAGAGCAAAAGGGAGTTTGGATTTCTTGAGAAGCGAGTTGGTCGTTGGCACAGCATTGAGGGTTGAGCGAATGTACCGTGGCGAGCAGTTGGCGTCTGGAGAAGGGGTTACGCTCGACTAGATCAAAACCGACGTTTGTTAGACAGTTTGTCCCGACGCACCGATACGATAATGGTAATAGCTGACTTACATTGGCTGGCAAGACAATTGGAGGAGGCGGCAAGTCCAGTTCAGATACTGAGAAGGGATTGTTCATGAGATCGGTGGGATATAGCTGGTTAAGCGGGCCAACTCGAGCCGGTTGCTGTGTGAAGGCCTGACCAGGCTGCTGATACTGTTGTTGAGGCTGGCTACCCAGTTGCATACCGCCCATGCCCTGGGTGATTCCGGCGACCCCTGGACCGCTGGGTTGAGGACCGGCACCGGCATAGCCTTGATCAGGTGCTTGGTAGCCATATGAAACTTGCTGTTGAGGCTGTACAGGAGCCTGCGAATACTGATAGCCTGGGCCGGGAGCTTGATGCTGTGCATCCGGCTGAGGATAGTTTCCATACGCAACAGATTGCTGAGCGGCAGGCATTCCGTATTGCTGGCCGCCGCCCTGCATCTGACCCCCAACAGCAGCATTGGCTCCAGACCCGACTTCAAAGGCCTGGGCGGCGTATCCCCTCTTCTTCTTTTTTGAGGGCGCCGCGACGGAGGCATCTTGTGGGGCGAAGCCAGCTTGAGCAGGTTGCTCAGGTTGCTCGGGCTGGCCAGGGTACTGGCCGTAACCGTCGGCGCGAGGAGCGGACATGACGGGAGACGGTACGTGAAGGAGACTCGGCGATAGCCTCAAGTGCTGTTGAAGGGGGCGGACGGGGACGATGAAGGCTTGAGGGAGAAGAAGAGCCTGTGGTGGGCTCTGCAACAACCGCAGGCACAGTCAGAATTGAAGCCAGAGCCGAATTCGCGGTCGAATTCGAATCGAGGTGGAATCGTCCGGAAGGAGGACACGACAATGGAAATGACAGGAATTGGAGGGTTGAATTGTAGTTGGACGTTGCGATTTATGAGGTCCAGGCAGACAGGCAAGTATGAGCACTTGAGGCGGGCCTTGGCTGAGCGCAGGCATTGGTCATTGGTAGCTCAGGGTTGACCTGGAGAGCAAACAACTTTAGAAGGATATGACTGGCCACAGCACACTTGGAGAGCTGTCCTTTTCAGCACTCCGAACCTTGAAAGTACATGTACACCCGCCTTGCCTTGCCCGCCCGAAGCCATTCTTTCGTAGAGCTCTCGACAGGTGGCGTGCAAGCCAGCTCAGCAAGATGTAAGTAGATGATACTTTTATGGCGGGGTTGCTGGCACACAATTAGTTGCCCAGTTGTCCTTCACAAAATGGTACTCAATACTTCTCGTTTACTGCGTCCCCGTCCTGTTCTATGCTAAGTCTAAGTACTTTAGGTACCTACTTTAGGTACTTTAGGTATGTACTAAAAGTCTGGTGAGTTGCCCTTCGAGTTTCTCAACTGTAAAAAACCTTGGCACCTTCTCCGCTTAGGCCCGTCTTTGCCGGTGCAATGATTTTTTCCGTCCTTGGCTATTTCTTCCGGTTGAACGCATCTTGGTTCCAGCGGCGGTTTGAAGTGTTGAATGAATTCGGACGATGGCGTAACGGCGGTTGACGGTTGCGCAGGGACATCACCTCTGCTTCCCTACTTAAGTACAGTTGTATGATGCCACAGAGTCAACTCCTGCGGAGTACTCCGCACAGTCACAAGTGTCTGTTTCTATTAACACTCGAGCAGCCCTTCGGCGTGTGACCCCTGGACCCGCAGTGCCGCCGCCTCCAAGAATTCATGGGACAATCCCTCGACGTGGCTTCAGCGGCGCCATTGGCCTGGCCCATGTTGCACAAACCACTGTTGGCGGCACCCGGGCACAATTGAGCTTTTAAGCATGGAGGTTACGACTGCGGCTGCTTCAAGTACGGCATGCTTACGAGGTGAGCCCACCCAAGCTGCATCCCAGTTTGGGGGCTCCCGTCTCTCAGCCTGCGATTCTGACAAAAACCTAGACCATTGGTAACAGCAAATTATCTACACGAACCTATCGCTACACCACAGGCCTCTTCACGTGCCTTACCCAACATCGGCCTTGCATTTACCTGCCACCGGCCTGCCTTTGTGCAGCTCACCGTTCGTATCACCCCAGCGCCGTCGTCTCTGACCAACAATCCGAGACCTACACCCGCTGCGAAAGTCGATTGCGCGCCCTTGACACCGACGCACTTCCATTTCGCCGCAGCTCAACTTTGTTCCCAACTTCGCTTTCGTCGCAGCCTTGGCCAACCCCGAGTAGCTGTTGCGACCTGCTCACTCGGTTTGATATCTTGCTCGGAAGCCTTGTTGGAAACAGTTTGCCCACTCGCCCACATACACTGTGACTGACTGGTTGACTGGTTGACTATTTGCAAATCAAAGAGTCTGTCGCCGACCGCCTTCAGCCCAACAACTCTATTTTCCATCCTTCCCCTGGGGATATCCAACCTGCCTTGTCTGTCTGCGTACTCCGCAAGTGAATGCATCATGGCATCAACTATTGGGTGAGTTCCTCCCAAATATACCCCTGCAATCAACAGTTATACTACTCAGCCATGTCGCTTTTGCGACTGACGCATTTCCACTTCTATCCCCTTGTATCCTTGTCTAGGGCTCCGGCATCCTACCCGTTTGTCAAGTTTCTGACAGTCTTGCTATGGCCACAGAAAGATAATCCCTCTCGTTATCGCTATCCTCCTCGTATCTGCCATCGCGTGGGTTCTATACCAAGTCTATGAATCAGCAACCAAGTTTCGCGACACGGCGTCGGAGCGAATGGGCAAGAAGAACGTCGTCTTCACCAAGGACGGCGTGCGAGTTGGTGTAAAACATGTGCAGAATGAGAAATACGTTGATAAGACCCAGAGTTGGGTCGTGAAGGCCTGGAACCTGGGCCAGCCGCAGTCACAACCTAAGGAAGACTTGTACGTTAAAATCCACTTGTTCTTCCTGAGGAGTGCACGCCCATGAGGTGCAGGCCAATTTTCTAGTTCGTCAGATGCTGACTACGATTTTTTTTTTGTAGGGCAAGGCGAAGGAAATAGACGTCCTCGCGTGGTTGATTTCATGAAAATGTTGCAATTCCTCCCGCTTGCATATGTGTCTCCAACCCATGAGCAACACCTAAATGCATTGTTAGAAGATTATTTGTTTCTTAGCAATTCTGGCGCAGGAACGCTGTTTCGCCCACTGGACGCTATTACTAACGGTGTTTCCAACTTTTGTTGAAGAGTGTTGGTGTTGCAATATGCCTTCCCACATGGTTCAGAAAGAGGGATGGAAGATACGAGGAGCAAAATGTGGTCCTAAGCCGTTTTAACGTCAATTTGAGACATGAACAGATACATTTGCCGTTAATATGATAATCCACGCTTAATGGCAACAATTCATGATTTTCGTTTCTTCTTCTTTTTGGCACTGCAGGACAAGAGATTTTCTTGTATTATTATTGGACTAAAAGACATCGAGGCATAAATAAACACCCCTTTTTTGTGTGTTTGTGCACCTTATCATCAGTTCATGATCTTGCACATGTCAATTTGAATTAGTAGAATGGTGTATTGATAGTTGAGCAAAATACATGTCCATGGCCGGGGAATTTATTGCAGAGTACGCCCAAGGCACCCGAAGCAACACATTTAGACGAAGCGAGCGGTTCAAGGATCAGCCATCAGACTTCTTCCAAACCAAACTTAAATATCCTTTTTTATGTTGCCCCATCAATGTTTTTGTAAATAACAAGCGCTCCAAAGCAAACGACGAGCGGCGGGGGTAGCCGCTGGAGTGGTACATACGGCCATGACACAAAGCTGGCTTGGAACATATTTCGACAGTATAGAGAAAAGGGTACACCGGCATAGATTGAAACAGAGTCTATGTCTGACAGCTGGCCAAATGAAATTGGAGACCAGTGAAATATTAGATAGTGGTCGTGGTGACATGTTGGAACTCGAGCCACGTCTTCGTTCTTCGCTCATCAACATTGTTAGAGGACCTCACAGCTTTCGTAAACACACTGGCAGCTTCTTGGTCTAATTTTGCCTTCTCTGCAGTTTCATGTTGTGGTACGAGTGGGCTGGCATAAAAACTCGGCGTCGGGCGGGATGCTTTGGATGCTTGCCGCTCAAAGTCGCCGGCAGTTGCGAAGGGTCTTGTAATGAGCCCGTCTCGAAAAATTAGCATCGACGGAATGCGTATGTTGAGCTACATGGGAATGATCAGCCGTCGTCTTCCAAAGATGTTATGGTACTAGAGCAATGGGCAGCATGGCTGGAGGAGCATGCTAGCAATAAGCCTACCTGAGTTAGTAGTAAAGCATATCGGACCCCTAAGTGAGAGCCGATGTACTGGAGCCGACCTCGAACCCAAGTCCGCTGAGAGTCTGTCAAATAATCCAAGGAGTGAATGAAAGCGAGGGGCCAAGTCATAAAGTATCCCGATAAGCCCTTTGACGAATCGTCCTCGCCGCAGGCAAAGGTGGAGAGGTTCGCACGTTCCAGTAGGTCCCTACGTTTGGAGAACCAACCAAGTTGGTAAGGGACGGAAGAAATGACGTCGGTGACAATATCCACGGTCGTTCTCGCGGCATTGGCATACTCTGGAGTGGTTCGGTAGTCGACGGGAGCACAGACCCAGGCTGCACATCGCACAATAATTGAGTTGAGTATGATTCGTCCGCATCGCAGCATATTCCAGATCGTAGCGACCCACAGATCATTATAAACGTCTACTCTGCCTGGGTATACCTCTGCTTTGGTGTAGTCGCCATTCGGTACATTGTCCTCCCAAGTAGCGGTCTTGCATTGAAAATAATCGGGGAGGTTCTTGCACCAGCTTGCGCAGGCTTGGTCCTGCGCTTGACACCGTCGAATCATGTCGATAACGATTTCCATATTATCCGGCGTCCGAGGCACAGTTGTGAGAAGCCGGTTGGCCTCTACCCTGAGCTCGCCAACCTTGATACACAGTCGCTGACATTCGGACGCGTGTCTGTCCCTCACCGCATCCTCGATCCACCAAGACACATCCATCCCCGGCGATTTTGATGTGCTTAGACTATGAATAATCTGTAGGCTGTTAGTCCAAAGTTTGACTTACTCCGAGAGACGTAGTGAATTTCAAGCTGAGGAGAATACCAGCAGGATGCTTTGTGTGCGTGTATGTGTGTGTGTTTTTGCGTGAGACTCACCATTTGTGTGCGCACAGCGATAAACATATTAAGGCCAACCTTTGTTTGAAGCTGTCTACGGCCTCGAGCCTTGGCCAGCTGTATTGCACCCTCGATATGAGAACCCCAAGCTAGCATTCCCATAGTTTTGGCAGTGATGTTCTCGAATAAGCCCAAGAGAAGCACGGCAGCCAGCGTCGCATCCTCCTTGGCAACTTCAGGGTCGCGCAGGGCCGCAAAAGTTGTCGACAGCGCTTTGGTGTACTTCCCCAGTGCCTGCTTTTCAAAATGATTCCCGTTGCCGACCCCGTTGTTAAGGGAGGCCAACGCACAGGCCTCAAATGCGTACTTGTAATGTTGGGGGACTGTGTCGGCGTTTAAGAGAGGGACAACGAACTCCATGAACCCAACAAGATTGCCGTGACGAGGAACTAATACATAATTGGAAATGAAATGACACGCAGCCTGATCCTCTAGAGGCAGCTGAGGAGTTGTGGAAACACGGGGTAAGCGAATATTGTGCGATGTTGGTGATAACGGGCCACCACTATCGGACGACGAAGACGAGGATGACGGTGACACTGCTTGCTCTGCTTCTCGTCCATGTCTGTGTGCCAGAGCTTTCTTCGTCGCCCTCCTTGCTCTTCGCTCTGTTGCTTGGGTTTCATTCCGAAATACCAAATCAAATTCGTCTTTGTATCCAGGACAAATTCTTCGACTTTTGGCACATTGATTACAAGTGGGCTTTGTTTCGTCACACTATCCCAACGAATTATTAACACAAGGCGCGAGATTGTGTGGCGGGGGTGAGACTATACCTTTATACGACGGGTTCTGCACATCTGGCAGCCCCTCGAGGGCTTGCCGCAGTACACCATGATCTCAGACACGTAGGCGCGCCGATAGAATGGCAAGGAGAAATCAACAACAAAAGCAGAAACGACTCTCACTTTGTCCTGTCTTGGGACGGTCGACGCCGAAGGGCCTGCCTATGGTGCCAGGAGATAGGTTCTGTCACGGGTGCGACCAAGATCCACGTTCGGTAGTGTCGATGTGACCAATTAGTACGGCAACGCGGTTCAATGTCTGCAGAAGCAGACGCGAATCTGGTGATGAGACGGCAGGACAGTTGGTTTAGAATGTGCAAAAGTGTAGGCTCCCTTCCTTCTTGCGGTAACGGATGTGGGAGGAAGTTTGAGCGCGCCGATGAGAGGGAAGCCGACGTATGAGAGTTAATGCATGAGGTACAAATAGGCTGCCGATTCCATATGTCCAGCTGATATGGACGTCTGGTGGTGTTCACTTGGAATGATGACAAGCCAGAGCGCTGTCAGTACTGTGAGCATTAAGCAGTGGAGGTCAATCGTCGGGGCCGTTTACTTGCGCACGCAATGGAAGCTGGAAATGAGGCCAGGGACAACAATGAACCGACCAGCCAAGTGAAAGCCGGACAAACAATGTGCGGGAATGAAAGCGAAATCGGGGAAGGAGGACCTGGAGGTGATGATAATGAAGGAGCGAGTACTCGGCAACCAGCAGCCTTGGAAACTGGCAGGCAGACTGCTTCGGCGAGGTAACCCAAGTACCTGGGTTAGTTTGGTTGATAGTCCCAGACCACGGTCAAGGCAGGAGCAAAATGCGGGAACTGGCAATCTGGGCCAAATGGGAACATGGGACCGGCGTTGACATTGAAGGGGTAAAAATGTCACTGATCCGCTGTGGGATGCCCCAGATGCCCCAGCCAGCGGTGTCCTGAAGCCTCACGCCGGTCAGCAACGGTTAAGGGTTCAATGTTACATCAAACATACAATTACTAGGCGATGGCCAGCCATTGACATCCATGTCTGGACGGGTGATTGAAATGTTCGGCAAGCTGGGCAGCTCAAAGCTACCCACTAGGCTAGGTTGGCAGCCAATTAGTTGAGTGGAGCCGGGGGAGGCGGGGGAGCTTTTGCATGTAGTGGCTTGCCGGGATTGACTAGGCCATCGATTCAATGTTGAGGAGCCACTAGCCTTGGCTACTAGTAGTAATAGTCAAGTCTGGTAGTACTCAGCACACAGGTCAACTCTTGCCAGAGCCGCCGTAGTATCCCCTCTGGTGTGTTAAGGCTCCAGTGAGGTATCTGCAGGGATGTGTATCTAATAAGAAGCTAGATTCTAAAGGGTATATATATTTACTAGTAAATTAAGTGATAATAAAAGTTCTAATAAGAAGGTTTATTATAAATTATTACATTATATATATTATAGCTTTAACGCGATTAATAGGCTTAATACTAGCGATTAAGGGTATTATTAAATAAAGCTTTAAGAGGCTTTTAAGAGCTTTTTAATTAAGGCTTTTTAATCTAATAACTTTAATAAGCTAAGTAATGTAATTTTTTTTCTCTTTAAATAAATTTATACTATAATACTAGCGTAAATTTATCCCTAGCTTAATATTATTATTTAAAGTTACTTATCTTTTCGTAGGCTTTATAAAGCTTATTAATTAGCTATTATTATTATTAAAGCTATAATTTATAACGCTTAAAAATAGGCTTATCATAAAGCTATAAAATATAATTATTAATAAGTGAAATATTAAGTAAAAAGTTCCACGTTAAAGCCTATTAACCGCTCTTATAAATTCTATGTTTATACCCTATTAAGCTTCTTAAATAATTATTAATTTTTACTACGTTTATTTAATTATTATAATTAATTATAATAGATAAAATTAAAAGCTCTTTCTTTAACTTATTATTAAAGACTCGCCTAATTTCCCGTAAT